ACAAATGTTTTGCATTGTTTTATTTTATTAGTATATGTAATTATTAATATAACTTATAGTAAGAATAAATCAGTTTGTCTCACCGAAATGCACCAAAGTCTGTACTCTTTATATTAATATTATCGTCGAAAGTCCACAAGTTTACTTCACCTAACAATGTAAACATTATAAAACACTACTACTCCGGAACCATTGAATATTCACATCAAACTGTATACAAACAAAGTCACGTTAAATTTAAAAGGGTTATGTTGTATTACATTAGAATCAAATATGATTGTAAGTACATTCAAATACACGCGATAAACATAAAAAACACTACGTTACTTTGTTTACGATCATCGGGATTCGTTCTTCACCATTTTGTTACAGAATACTATATTATCGATATGTCAATTCGATTTCAGTAGTGAAGCCAATTATAACAATTTAGTATTGTTTTAACTTTCATTATGGGAAATTGAAACTAGGTTTCAATAATTAACATAAATTACATTGAGACTAATAGCGGTTGCTATTAAAACAATGGAATTGGCATTCACTTTGCTCTTTCTTCTTTTTAATGAAATGTAATTTTTATGTTAGAACGTTTTCAAAATTTTTTTATTATCTTTGACAAAAATGAAATGTTTGTTATTGAACGTTATTAAGTTATCTATATTTTTTTTTATAAGTGAACGAGGCAATTTTCAAGACATCTAGCTTAAGAATATAGAATTATAAGAGAAAGGGAAGAGTAAAATGACTAATTTGCGATGGAAACTAAATCGATTGATAAATATTCTATTTTATTTATTAGTAGCGAACTGTCATTTATTTTAACTAATAAAAACATTAGATTTTTAATTTTTCTGAAATTATTACAATTAGAGCAAATCAGTATGTTATTAAATAATTTTATTTTAACGATTTTGATAAACAATTAAAATCTATAAAATACGTGTTATTTCAATTTCATTTAGAAATTAGAGACGAAAAGTATATGTTAATATACAATTTAATATACTTCAGTATGAATCACGTAGTCAATTTTTTTATGTTAAACTTACATTCAATTTCCAGTGAATTATAAGAATTAGAAAATTATTACAACTGTTTATTATGAAAATAGTCATTGTTTAAAAAAAGTATATAGTACAGAAATGTTACAATTTTCATTGTACTGTACTATATATTTATACGAATAAATCTAACAATTAACTAAAAATTCTGCACTTTAATATAAACACTGAAATTGATTAGTTTTTATATTACAACTGATCTTACAATTAAAGTCAAAATAGTAGTTTAATATTATAGGTTAGTCGCATGATGTGTGAAATAAACTTGAAGAAATTGAAATGGTGCGTGTGGTAGATGATTTTTCATTGTGTTTTCCTTTACGAGTTTCGGAACGAATCGAATTATTCGAAACTACTTTTTCGTGACGCGAGCTCGACTGATAAACCAATGAACCGTCCAATAAACCGTGAGAATATACCATGTGTCCCCATAATAATGCTTAGACTCGTGTGAGATAGCGTACACATGATTACACTTGTTGCTACTATATCGTACAACAGTTATTACGTCTCATATTCCTAGACTTTCTTGTTTTTAAGAAAAATTATCGCAAAAATTGTTTCGACAGTTTAATTATTATTATTTAAATCTATACAGATTATTAAATCTGTATAGAGTACTACAATTTTTAAAATGTAAAATGAAATTGTTAATTTTATAGAAAAGGGTAAGGAACAATTTCTCAAACAAAGTAACACCATTGCTAATAAAAGGAAAGTTAAAAGTTTATATATGTATATTTCAAACGAAGTGTAAAATATTTAAAAAAATATTCTTTGTGAAATATCCTTATTTTATTAATGGTGAAATTTTTTCTGCAATATTTATACTATCTTATTTTCAATGCTCTAAATTAAACTAAAAATGTTAAAAATAGATATTCTTTAGTAACGTATTTTTCATTATTAAACATTTTCTCGTTATTAGCACAGTATTGTACAAGCGATGTATTCATAATTTATCAAGTTTTATTATAGTTGTCATAAAATGATTAACATATATGTTGGTAAACAATGCATAATGTAAATTTGTATGTATATATATAAATATATAATCGAAGTTGGTTTATTGCCACAAGTAAGTTGACAGATTCGTTCTCGCTAATGACGCTCATTATCGGTTATCGTAATAGACGAGACGGCAATAAAAGAAATATGATTTTTGTATTTGAAGTGAAAGATTTGTTCAGAGTTGAGCTCGATTTAAGGACTTTTATGTTCGACTTACGTGAAACATTTCGTTAAGACAATAAAAGCATGCAAGTGTCAAAGTGTAGTATTTAAATATTTTATTTAAGGACGAAAAAATGAACATACGTTATAGGTTAGGAGAACTTCATTTTACATGGTTGAATAAACTTCACTAACCTACAAAACTGTACTTCAGTAGTGAAATGCTTTTGCGGTGATTTCAATTGTTACTGTATGTAGATTTGTAATTTAATTAATTTTATTACTACTTTTACCATAATGAACATTATTTCAGTGAATGTTGGTAAATGAAATGAAATAAGAAAACTTTATTAAGAAATTATAATAATTTTTTAGACATCATAATGTTTACAGTAGTTTTATTAAAAAAACAAAGAAGACAATAGAACTTCAATTGTTCAATTATTGGGGAAATTATTTTCATTATAATTCTAGTCACATTATTAATATTATTATTATCGTGAAGATCATGATAAACCTACGTTTAATGTTTCATCATGCACATGAAAGTGTAACATACGTAAAACACATGTAACAAAACTTGAAAATTCAGAGCGTTTCCAATTGATTTATGTTGAACTAACTTTTCATCAGAAAATATGGGCTTTCGTCAGTGACGAGAAAAGCTATGAATTTGCGTCATGAGGTGTTTCCAAAGTAAACTATATGTAAAAATTACACGATGTTGAGGCAGACACTTTTGAAAGACTTAATATAGAAAGGTTAATTTAATAGAAAATGGCTACGAATAGTTTGTTTAAAAAAATTATCAAATAAAATCGACATATGCATTTGTATAGTCTTTATAATGTTTTATAATATTTTTCAAATAGGTTATACCAATTTCTTTTCAATTATTATTTTTCAGGCTTTCGGGTATAATTTTTTTTTATTATTACTTGAAACCAATTTTTAATTTTTCAATCACGTTAAGAATTGCAAGCAAAAATCCACCAATGACGTTCCTATTATTTTTTTAAACAATTTTTCGAAGAAATTGTACAATTCTGACTAATCATTTATCAAATTCCTTTGTTTTCGTTGTTTCTTTGTTGCATCGGTAAATTATAACTTACCTGGAGTTCTCTGTACATTAGTTTTCGTTCTGAATATAGTACAATGAAAACAATGAGGATCATTTCCTGTGAATGTATGATTAGAGTTTCGATTTAACGAAGGACCATGTAACGAACAAGCTCATCGCTATGAAACTTTCGTGTAGGATGGAACTTTCTTCGATTCCGCTTCGATTTGAATATTTAAGCTTCTCAGAATCGACACTATTCTCGCGTTCTTTAATTATAATTATAATTTTATTTTTTGAAACGTGCAATTCGACAACTTTTAAATAGATTCGTATTTCTTCTCGATAACAATTTTACCTTGACACTGTTATATTAATATTTTCGGTTTTTAACGGTTTAAAACGGTTTTTATTTCGCACACTTTTTTTTTTTATAATACATTGCTATTGGAAATTTCCCTGAAAAAACATTTCTTTTTTTTTTTTTATTAGACCATTTTCTGATGTAAATGAGTTACCCATCTATATGAGAAAAATATCCAGATTAACGATCAGCTGTGCACTTTACATTTTTTCCCATAGGTAATAAACGCGAAGTAAGTGGTTCTGTGATAATAGCTCAATTATAAAAATTACACCTAACGAGATATTTGTAAGATGCACATTTTATGTACATAACGAGATAATCTACTTCTGTAAAATTGTTTACGGAGAAGTTACGTTATATACAGGGTGGACTAATAAATATTACCACCTTGAGTATCTCCAGAATCATGAAAGTACGATAAGTCTACAGAAAAAATTTTTATTTAACTATAACTAGTATTAATGATAACTAAAATTTTTTTCGTTATCATTTTCTTCATTACCTACACCGTCATTATCTACAGAGTGGACAAATAAGAATTAGCACTTTGAATATCTCCATTAAAGTAGGAAATTATTTATTTTTAAATAAAAATTATTTGGTATAAAAGAGACCATCACTGGTAATTCTTATTGGTTCACACTGTATATAATGATTGTACAGCTATCGAGGGAAATGATAACGGTAGAAATCTGAATTACAATTACTTCTCTCTGTAGACACGTTGTAAATAAATTATAAGAAGTGTTCTATGTTTAGTTGATGATTATACTGACATAGTAAATCATTAATCGATAATAGAACGATAAGCTACACCTATGTTTAGATACACTTTATGTTCCAATTGTGCTTTTTACACGTATAACGTGTCTCTTTCCTCGTTCAAGATTTTTCTCGCTTGTTAATTTAGTAATGAATATTTTAATGGTAATTTTAACGTGTAAACTTCCCAAGGCTTCTTTCTGGTTTTTACGTTTAGCTTATTAACGATCAGGAAGGTACATAATTGTTGGTGTATACGATAGAAAATATTTTAATTAAATAATCTACCAGTTTTACGTTTAAAATGAACCTAACCTAACTTAATCTAATCTAACCTACAAATATTAGTTTTCTATTTGGATTTTCAAGTTTCCAAATTATCAATTGAATAATCAAACGTGTTTTGATTTAAGAATTTGTTGAAATTAATCAACAATTAAATGTTTAATTACAGTTTGGTAATTGAATATAATTTCGAAACTCCAGATTTTTTTCTACGAGTTCTATTATCCTTTAAAAATGCAATACAAAGCTACAGAACTGCCAAAGTACATCGTCCAAGTAACAATTCCTTCAATTTCTTTTAACGAGCACTGTAAACCTGAAAATATACAGAACAAAAGAATTACAAAAGTGCAAAGATACAAAGAGAATTCTGAGTTTAGTTCAGAGATTTGCAGAGTTCTGTTAACCTTTAAAAATTCAGTCCGGTAAAACCACAATAATACAGTGCAAATGTCCAACGAAACAAAGCTTAAATATGCACAAGCTAACAAGTTGAACAACTTTTCTTTTTATTTGATCACTCCTTCGGTGAATTTTATCTTCTTCTAGAATTTAAACTAAGAGATTTGCAAAAAGTCCAACACTTTCGAAGCTCCTAATTTTTTTTTACCAAGTTTTACCAGATAGACCTAAAAGTACGCGAGCGTAAACGCGCGACAGACAATCGGAATTAAACTAAAAACTGTACAAGCTGGCATCGTCGTCAAAACTTCTGTCTCTTGTTCCAATCAGTTCCATAATAAAAAGAAACAAATTTCGTGTTACCAAGAATAAGTACACTCTCGTCCATAAATATTAGGATACTTATTGAATGCGAAGCAAACCTAGTCATTCAATAAAGGATCCTGGCGGAAGAAGGAGAAGCGGAAGCGGTGGCCTGGCTTAGAAAAGTAGAAAAAGAAAAAGAGAAAAGAAGAAAAGGATAACCAATATAGAAACCCACCAGAAGATAGAGTTGGTAAAAGAAAGCACAGAACCAAGGAAAGATTAGTTAATATTAGTTAATGAGCGTAAAATCTTGTTTATATAGTTCCTTATTATAAGTTTATTATGTAGTAGTTTGTAATTTAAGGTTAAGTTAAAATTTTCGTAGGCAATGCTAGACAATTAAGGAAAGTGAGATCAGCCAAGCACCGATGCTGATTAAATAAGTTAAATGGAAACAATAATGTAAAGACCGAGGTCTATTTCTAAGCCAAAAGGCTGAAATGAAGATTACTATAATACCTAGTCATTCGATAATTAAAATCCAGGAAAGGAAAAATTTATACAGCCTGGAAAATAATTTGTCGATTGACCAAGATGATTAACTCCATTTTTTGATATTCTTCCGATTTTACTATCAACACGCACGTTTGGTGCTTAACTTTACACAAATAAAAGAAATTTAATAAATTTTATTTCATACGATACTAAATTTGGCGAAGAAATTCAATTTAAATTGTGTAAATATTTTCTGTACGAACATAATGGGTGTCCCGATACTTACGAACAGCAGTGTATACAGTACACGTAGAGAATACAATTATAAACGCAGTTACATCTAGAGGCTGGTTAGTGTACGAGTTGAAATGTCTCTCGAACTTGCCGTCTCTTTCGACGAGTTTTATCAACCTCTGTATTCACAACGTATCAACACCTTGTATATGACCGGTATTATACGTGCATGAACACCACCCACAGTGCTGCGTAGTCAGCATGCTCCACCGCGGTGTTCGACTGCCCCACTCTGGTTTTCGCTCTCGTAAAAGAAGGAACGCGCAACATCCCCTTCGTTCATTCACAACCACCTGCTCGTCGAGGAAGCATCGGTCTTTTGGTTCATCTACTAGTTGCCGAATAGCCGACCAGTCGTGAAGAACCGCTTCCAGAGGAACAGGATGAGAAGCAACGCGACTTCCGGCTTGCCGCTGTCGGCCTACATTCTCCTTTGCGCGCTGATGGTTTTATCGTCTATCGGCACAACCTCTGCCAAACGTGAGTAATTATTTATTAATAAAGTTTCGGAGTTTGTAAGTTCTTTTTTCTTTATGATAGACACTGTTAAAGAGTAGGATTTTTTTCTCGAGTATGGTTTTATCGCCTATTGGCACAATCTGTGCCAAACGTGAGTAATTATTTATTAATAAAGTTTCGGAGTTTGTAAGTTCCTTTTTCCTTCTTTTTTCTTTATGATAGACACTGTTAAAGAGTAGGATTTTTCTTGAGTATTTTTTCATCTTCTATCGGAACAGCCTGTGCCAAACGAGAGTAATTATTCGTTAATTAATTTCTAGTGTTTAGAAGTTCATTTTTTTACGATAGACACTGTTGAAAAGTGGGATTTTCTGGCTTCTTTATCACGTTATTACGTTACTACTCGTTTGATTTATAATTTTGAAGGAGAAATCTTGTTACAGAATGAGACACTTTGGTGTAATTTGCTTTGGGATAGATTATAAGGAGATATAGATCTTCTTGGTTCGCAATATTTTAGGAGATTCTTTATTAGGGCAGTGTTTAGTGTGGAAGCAAAGTTGTTGATTTTGTGGAAAGAATGGAGAGGAGTAAGGTATTTTTGTAAGAGTGGTCTTGAAATTTATTTTCTGGTAATGACAATTGGCACTGTTAGCGAGTTACGTTTGTTCTACTCGTCATTATCCTTGGATTGTAAATTACTAGAGTTTGACGAAGAGATGGGTTTTCAAAGGAAAGAAAGTTTGAAAGTAATATTAATTGATATAGTTTGCGTATTTTGGTGGTTAGGTTTTTGTTAATTAAATTTTTGAGAACGACATTCTAGATTAAGTATTTACTAGTAGAAAGGGTTGATAGTTAGTTTATTCTGTAAATTTAAATTACAGATTATTAACAGATTTCTTTTACTAAATATCAACGTAAAGTTCTTGAAGAAGTGCAATTGTTTATCAATAAATTTCAGAATATTTATGTGGTCCCTTTGTAATTGTTTAATATGTACAATATATAGTATAAGTAATACAACTGAGTATTAGAAATTTAGGATTAACTCACTTTTACCTTTCTTCTTGAACAGATTAAGGAAACAAGTTTGAAACTTTTCATTTTTGTTTGAAGTGGCATTTAAATTATCAACATTTATCATTACAAATTTATATAATATTATTAACAACGAATTATAGGTATTGTTATTCTTATTTTTCGCGAACGAATATGCATGAATAATTTCAACAGTGAAAGCACGTACGTACAGAAATCTTCAAATAAATTTAAAATTACGAGGAACTTGAGATAAAAATTTGTAGTCAATTGAACGTATGTAAATTTGTGGAAATCATTCGCGACAATTCATTTGTGAAACTACATGTTTTTTGTATGTCCACGTATTTCATTCAAGAAATATTTCACCTGATTGTCAGTGAGAAAAAGAAGCATTTTATCCGAACGTAGTTTTAATTTTACGAGCGAAAATTATTATGAATAAAATGTACACAAAGATGAAGGACGTTGAGAAATTTCAGCAGAACAAAAGCAACAATTAATTTGCCACCGGAAAATGTAATCATTTAAAATTTAACACTATAATATCGACTGCTGATAATTTCTAAAACTTTACAATTATCAAATTGTAAAAGATGTGTAAATAGCTTACGTTCGCACGTATAGTTGGTAAAAAAATGGAAATATCAATCATTATGAATATTATAAATGAACTTCCATCATACACATCCATTTTTTTATATTTCTTCCTTTTAACTTGTCAATTTTCCACTTTACACAATATTCAAATAATAAATACTACGATAAATGCACGAGGTATCAAGAAGAAAAGTGGTAAATTGAGAAGTTAAAAGAGAGAAATATGAGAAATGAAAACATAATAGCGTGTATGATGGACGTTCATTCACAGTATTCACAATGAACAATATTTCTCTTTCAATAATTTTGTTTTCCTTACGTTTACATGCACAGTCGGTACAAAAATCATAAGTAAAAGGGTTAACGCCATTGTGAAACAAAATAGTAGAAAAAGAAATATCGTGAATTATAATATCTATCGTACAAGCTATTATATCTTTTTTCTCATATTTCTCCCTGTTATTGTAGTGGAAAAACTATCGAGTGTTTCCACACGATCTTTACGTATATCAAATTTTCTGGTTGGCTCAATAAAACAATTTCTAAATATCAAGCCAAAGTGACTAACTCCATCGAATTAAATTTCTTAAATTTCTTTCATTTACAAAGAGTTAAGCACCAAGCATGTGCTTTGATACTGAAATTCGAAGAATTTCAAAAAGTGCAGTTAATCATTTATCTTCTGAGTGGCTCATATGATATACTCATATGGTACAAGTGAAAACAGTGAAACACCTCACAGGAAATTAAAGTTGTAAAAAAACAAATTCTTACAAAAGTTATTCGATATATAAAAGGACATTAGATAATCTAAATAATTTTTCTGTAAGTGTTTAATTGTGAATTAGGTGAATTAGGTACATTCGAATAAAAAACAAAAAAATATTTCTCCCCTTTAACCCTTTGGACTACTTTGTCGAGTGTGACTCGACATCAGTTTTATTCACAGTAATTTTTAAATTGCCAATTTAAATATGTATTATATTTTGCAATATTTTCTTTACCTGGACGAGCGATAGGTACACATATATACGACCCTTAATGCTATTTTCGATATAATTAGTAAAAAAAATTATCAACCAAATGTCTTTCGAAGTGCATTTCAAATAAAATTCGTAAAATAATGGGGAGTTATTGAAAAGAAAATTAAAAAAAAAATTTGGAATTCAAAGGGTCAACTTCTCAATTTTCCACGCTTCTTCTCGTTACGTATCTATCACAGTGAACATTTCGCTAGGCATAGCTCAATTTATCCTGATCCACGGTTTTAACGAAGATCTCCGCGGATCGGTGGGGCGCGTCGTTCGATCGTCTACGACGAATCATGGCGTACGTTTAGTATAAGTAACAACCCGTAGAGAAATCGGGACAAATGGCTGTTTTCCCGTTTGCAGAGAAGGTGGCTGCTGCCAGCAGCGAACGTAACGAGAGAAATATGAAGGTAGATATGTCGCAGGTTGTGAATGGGAATCTTTGATATCCGTCCTTTGTAGCACGGAGTGAGCGAAGTTTAAGGGAAACTATATTCTACACGGCGGGAATGTGCCGGTGTCATCTATGTACCTATGTAAGAGAAATCGAATGAATAATTCTCGGCCGTTGGGCGCAACCTGAACTTAAATTACTTTCATCGTGACGACAAACAAAGATTATCCAGCCGGCGTTACGCATTAATCTGAATGTTCGATTGTAAATGAACGATTGGTGGGCTATCCAGTGAAATGTAGTGGAAAATTACGAGAAAACCAGTGGCTGCAATTTGTGTATTGAAGATTGGAACGAATTTTAAGCTCCTCGCACTTTTACTTGTATTTCGTGTTACTCGTTAATCTGCAAAATTGTTTCGAGTTGATAAATCTTTTTTAAAATGTGAAAAAAGCTGCTGAATTAATTTGTGCAGCTAATACAATGTTAGGGTAACTTTGCAGTTTTGCAATTGTTTGAGATTTCACGTGGAACATTTCTGAATTGGAGAATAAAACGTTACTTGTAAGATAAGGAATTTATTTATATAATATTGTTCATTTTAAAATAAAAGAAAGGAAGGAAGGCAAATGTTGGGCAAAAGTTTAGAGAGTATTTCTCATGAGTTAAACAAGGCAGTGAAAATTATTGAGGGAGTAATGGAGAATTTTTTAGGCTTGAATTTACTGTATTTTTTTGTTTTTCAAAAACAGTAAAAAATGGAACAAATTCCAACTGAGTAAATTGTGTACGGCATATGACGGTTTCTCAATTTATCTGTCAATCACAATGTCGTACAGACTTATTGCAACGATATCACCGAAATTCCTGTAACTAGCTTTTTATTTTCATCTCTTACATTTCCTCTTCACTATCATCTCAATTTTTCACATTTCTAATTTTCCATAACTCAGTAGTTTCCACAGAATTGACACTATTTTTATGTATCATTTAGTAAAACATAAACAATATACTTTTCATCTTCAACATTTTTTCTTTAATAACATCTTATTCTTTCATCAGTTTGCAGTTTTCGAAGAATTGAAACTATTTTTATTCATTATTCAGTAAAAGATAAATAATATACTTTTCACTTTCGTCTCTTACATTCCTTCTTTACCGACATCTCAATTTTTCATAACTCAATGGTCCCCGGAAGAACGGAAACTATTTTTATTTATTATTCAGTAAAAGATAAACAATATATAAACTCAGACTGTGAGCTTACGTAAAAATTGAAGGGAACAGAAGAGGCTTGAACCAGCAGCGTGGAGATTCGTATTATGTTCCAGTGTTCGTTCGTAATTGGATTTGCTCACATTTGTTGATACTTCCGTTGCTAATTAATCGTGGATTCTCTTCGATCAACTCGATTCTCCGTTTAAGTAAATCGCAGCTAATGACCACTTTGATCGACGTGACGTGAAATGGACAATTGAAAATAAAAATTTCTTTGAAGAAAAATTAGTTCTTCTCTTTATGAGAGGGCTAAGCTTTTTGCTACAGGGAACATTTGTATCTCAATTACAAAAATGGCGCGCCAAGTGTCTGACCGCGCAAAATTTGAAATTTCGAGCAATTTCTGTTACTTCACTTTCGCTTTCTTTATGTTCCTAAATATCTAAGGATCCTCAATTCGAATGTCATTTTTCTAGAAGAATAGTTTAAATAGAGTAATATTTACATTGAAATCTCTAATTTCTGCCATCTTTAAAACACACCATTCAGCGCTTAGGTTAGGTTATGTTTCGTTTGTAGAATCTTCGTTTATGTTTGTAGAATCTTCGAAGTTTTCATAAGGTGTTTGAACTATTAAAAATATTTTATGAATTTCACTATGATCTTGTGGGGAATTTAAACGTTTGCCGAAAGATGATTCCTCTGGCGTAATAAGTTAGATTTGATTGTGAATGTGATTTCGATTTTGACCTTTAGATTAACCACGTATTACACAGATTTACTGTTTCAATTGTATTTTTTTACGTATTTTTACGTATTGCAAAGTATCAAGGGAGAAAAATTATGACTTGTAATTAATTACCGTTGCTTTTATACCATGTGCTCTTTTTTTATTTAGCGATTGGCAAAGGTATACGAAAAAATGCAACTAAAAGAAAAAAGGAACGATTCTGTTGCAAGAAAAGAGCGATTTTGTTTTTTATCAGATGTGAGATGACTCTAAGTCTAAGTCTAAAATGACATAATAGTTTCTCTGTAATTGTCTCTATAATTCAGACTACTAGAAACACTGTTATATACTAAATCATCAGTTGAAACTTTATTAACCGAAAATTGTCTGCTTATCCTTGAAAACAACGCACAGTGAAATTGCGCAACGATTTGTCAAATCTGACTATTTTAAATTGCGCGTGAACTGGTCGTCGCATAAAAAAAAAACGACGAAACAAAAGTTCCACGGTGTCAAGGAAATAATACAATGTATCAGTTAACTCGTTGGAATTTGCAATTGTTATGAAAATATGGAGATCGTTTTAATTCTTCAAATGTAGCGTTCGACGTTTCATTTTGAAATTAAGATGTGATATCGAGTGTTCTAAATGAAAAGATATTATAACACACAATGATACAATATGCGAACACGTAATAATACAATATGTTATTTACTATAGCATAATAATAAAATATTCTATTTATTTGATACAGAAAATATTAATTGTTTTTAGATTTAAATATTATTGACGATCGACTGTTAAACCGTGTAGTTAGTTTATTTATTAAATCGAAATTTTCCAAGTAGATAGATCAAATTTTCAAGAATTTGCATAATATTTTATAATAAAAATTGAATTTTTTACGCTCACATAAATGCTCTTCGAAATATCGGAAATAATAATCGTGACAAATTAAAAAAAGATCCATTTTAATAAGGAATATTTG